TCAATTCCCTCCGGTTTTCCAAAAACCTCCAACGTATAAATATAGGTAGCCCTCGACTTACGACCACAATCGAGCCTGAATTTTAAGTTGCTAAGCAACTTAAAACTTTGTGGAGTTTGAACACATTTTATGATCTTTGCTTGCCACAGTTGTTAAGTGAATCTGGCCTCTCCATTGACTTGTTCGGGTCGCAAAAGGGGGTGGTGTGACACCTCTCCCGCCCGTGGACGCTGCCACCGTCGTAAATATGAGTCAGCTGCCCAGGGTCTGAATTGTGGTCACGTGAAAGGAGAGAAAAAAATTTATTCCAGCCTCCAAAGAAGCCAAACCATCAGGGTAGCCACATCAAAATGTATAAACCATTCCTTTCTTTATTAAACATAGCTTGCAAGTGATAAATATTACAAAGTTTTTTTTTTAATCCTTTCTCCAAAAATTAGCTTATTATTATTATTATTATTTGTTTTTAATCAGGTCACTGCATAATCAATTGGCAATATTTAAACAACTTTTTTTTGTGTGTTTAATCCTCCTTTCATCGCCTTTTTTTTTTTTAAAACCGGATCCAAAAACACAAGGCCAAAAAATTAAAAAAGAAAAGAAAAAGAAATTAAAAACCCCTCTTAAAATGGTGCAAAAGGACTGGTTTCCTGTTCTCTTCCCCCCCTCCCCCGCCCCTTAGACTCCACCCCAATATTTCCACCTTATAATTTGGACTCCTTCTGTCCAAGTGGCTCTCAAGTTAAACTGGAGATATGAAGGTTTTTTGGGGAGGCGGGTTGTCCCCCCCTCTCCCCCGTCCCCAAAATAGATTCGACTTCTGCAACGGAAAAGAGGCCAGTGGTTGAAACCAAAAGAAGGCGAAGATGGGGGTTGCCAGTCGTGGGGGCAAAGTTCCAGGGATGGTCAGACGGATCTCCAAGTTGGTGCCTTCCTTAGGACCTTCAAAGTTGGATGTTAACGTAGTGTTTCTTAACCTTGACTGCTTTTAAGGTAGGTGGGCTTCAACTCCCAGGATTCTTCAGCCTCCTTAAGTGGACTTCAACTCCCAGAATTCCCAATTTTAAGATGGTTGGACTCCAACTCCCAGAATTCGCCAACCATTTTAAGATGGTGGACCTCAACTCCAAGATTTCCTCAATCTTTTTGAGATGGGTGGACTTCAACTCTTGGAATTCGCCAACCATTTTAAGATGGTGGACCTCAGCTCCAAGATTTCCTCAATCTCTTCAAGATGGGTGGACTTCAACTCCCAGAATTCCCCAACTGTTTTAAGATGGGTGGGATTCAAATTTTTTTTTACTACCAATTCTGTGGCTTGGTGGGCGTGGCAGGGGAAGGATACTGTAAAATCTCCAGTCAGAGGTGGGATTTGCCGGTTCTCCGAACTACTCAAAATTTCAGCTACCGGTTCTCCAGAACTGGTCAGAACCGGCTGAAGGCCACCCTCTGGTGGACTCCAAAACTTCCAGAATTCTGGGAGTTGGAAGTCCACCCATCTTAAAAGTGGCGAAGGTTGAGAAACACTACCCTAGACGAAACTCACGGACAGAAGAGGTGCAAAAATCTCAGGATCCTGAGGATCGTTGGACTCCGATGGAGATCCAAAGAGATGGGTTGGCCAACGGTCAACACCCAACGGCTTTGTCCCAAAGCGAAAGCATCTTTTTTTTTTTTTTAAAAAAAAGAGAAAAATCAGTGCAAATTTACGGGTGGAATCGTCCTGATCTGGGGTTATACTTGTAGGTGGTGTTGGCCCCTGCTCCAAGTAAACCCACCCACCCACCCAAAACTGGAGGGGGGGAAATCTAGGGTGGGCTTAAGAGGAGCAGAAACCAGACTGGCCTTGGGCTGGGGTTGTGTGTCTCTTGGGGTACAAGAAGATGAAAAGGCACCATTGCGGGAACTAAGAGCCACTGTATCAATTTCAGCTTTTTTTGGGGGGCGGGGTGTGAGGGAGGAAGAGGAAGATGAAAAGGGGGTGCGTGGGGCAGAGGGGAGCTGCCCAGCCCCTCCTGTGCACCCCTTTCCCCAGGAAACCACATTTCGACCATTTTAATGTCATACACAAAAGAGTTTCACACTACAAAAGGACATCGACAAACGTCACAATATCCATGGCTAAGCTGTCTCTTTTTCGTGGTTTTGAGTTTTCTCTATACAATGTACAACTTGTTTTTCTTCCTCCCCTCTTTCTCCCCACTTTCTTCCTTCCTTCCTTCCTTTTTTTTTTTTCTCCATTTCTTTTCTCTGGTTTTTCTTTTTCTTTTTTTTCCCTTTTCTTTAATGTGTCAAGAAATAGCTTATATACAACAAAGAAGTCCTTGTTATAACGGGGTAAATTTTTTTTCTTCTTCTTCTTCTTTCTGGCAGCAAGGTTACGAGTTAAGCAAAAAGAAATTTTCATGGAGAGGAGGGTACGAAGGACCGGGGGGGGGGGGGGGGGAAGGGAAAATGGGGGGGGGGGGGGTACAGGAGGGCCTTCCCCCCCCCCCCCCGTTTTCCCGACGGGAACCGTTAACATACAAAATAAAATAAAATATAAACGAGGAAACAGAACAAAAGCTCAGCATGATTCACAAAGCAGCTACAACTAAACAGTAAACCCCCCCCCCCAAAAAGAAAACGGAAGCCAGCGTATTAATCTTTGAAATTAAAAAAGGTATTTTTCTATATTACATCTCCAAAAAAAAAAAAGAGAAAGAGAAAGAAAGGGAGGGAGGGAGAGAGAGAAGGAGAGAGAGAAGGGAATAAGAAATAGCTTAAGTTTAGTTGGGGGAAATAGAAAAAAGCAAATTTTGGAAGAGCGCTCAAAAGGAAGAGAGACGGGCGGGGCAGGTCGATTTACGATCCTGTCAGAAAATCCGTTTTCCTGGATAGCAAAAGGTTCCCATCTAATTTTGGCTAATTTCTTGGCAGAAATTCAAACAGGTGCTTTTTTGGAATTTTTTTTTTCTTTTTTGATACTTGAGCAAAAATTATTGCACGTTTCCTACGTCACCGAAAAAAAAGAAAAAAAAAAGATTAAGAGGAGTAGAGAAAGAAGGAAGAAATTGACAAAGGAAGGAAGGAAGGAAGGAAGGGAAAGTGGGAAGAGAAGGGAGGGAAGGAATAGACGGGAAGGAAGGAAGGAAATGAAAGAAAGGAATAGACGGGAAGGAAGGAAGGGAAGGAATAGACGGGAAGGAAGGAAGGAAATGAAAGAAAGGAA